GACTGTGACCATAAAATTGATCTTAAGCCAGGCACAGTGCCCCCCCATGGTCCTCTATATAATATGTCTATCGATGAACTGAAAGTGCTACGCAAATATCTTGATGAACAACTAGATAAATGTTTCATTCGTACTAGCAAGTCACCAGCAGCAGCACCAGTACTCTTTGCCAAGAAACCTGGAGGTAGTTTAAGATTTTGCGTTGATTACCGTGGATTAAACGCTATAACCATTAAAAATAGATATTCCCCCCCCTAAATACAAGAAACCCTTGCTAGACTTAGTAATGCCAAATAATATACAAAGCTAGATATTATTGCGGCATTTAATCATATTCGAATCTCCAAGGGCCAGGAATGGATGACAGCGTTTAACACACGATATGGTCTGTTCGAAACACTAGTAATGCCGTTTGGCTTATCAAACGCACCAGCCACTTTTCAAGCTCACATCAACAATGTCTTGCGACCATACCTTGATGTTTTCTGCACTGCATATATCGACGATATCTTGATTTATTCTGACGACCTTCTAACGCATCGAGACCACGTTAATACTGTACTTGAGGCACTTAGAAAAGCCGGATTACATTGTGATATCAAGAAGTGTGAATTTGAGGTTCAAGAAGTGACCTACCTTGGAATGATAATCTCTGTAATAGGTGTCAAAATGGACCCCCAAAAAGTTCAGTGTATTTGTGACTGGGAGTCTCCCTCGTGTTTGAAAGATGTTCAAGGCTTTTTAGGATTTTCTAATTTTTATCGGAGATTTATCAAAGACTTCTCAAAGATTGTGAGGCCCCTTGTCTCTCTTACCCGCAAGGATGTCAAATTTGTCTAGTCTGATGCCTGCCAAAATGCTTTTGAACTCCTCAAAAAAGCTTTTATCTCAGCACCAGTTTTACATCATTTCGACGCCTCAAAAGAGATTATAGTCGAAGCAGACTCTTCGGACTTCGTTTCAGCTGGTGTTCTTTCTCAAAAAGATGATAAAGGTGAGCTACATCCGGTTGCTTTTATGTCAAAAAAGTTCGAAAATGCGGAGTGCAACTATGAGATATACGATAAGGAGCTTTTAGCCATTGTACGCTGCTTTGAAGGTTGGCGAGCTGAGCTTCAAGGCTCATGCTATCCGATAACCGTCCTCACTGATCATCGAAATCTTGAATACTTCATGACAACAAAAGAGCTATCCCGCCGCCAAGTTCGTTGGAGCGAGTTCTTATCAGAATTTGATTTCGTCATTAAGTCCAGATCAGGAAAAGATAATGCTAAAGCTGACTCACTTACACGACGCTCTCAAGACCTCCCTAAAAACGACTCTGATCCTCGAACTCAACACCAAAAGCAAACTCTCCTACCTGCTAATAAACTTCATGAATCCATAATCGAAGATTTAGCGCAGAGTAAATATAATCTTCCATCCAATACGACCAACTTTCATCACCTTTCTTCCGTTTCCCTCTCTAACCCTCAAGATGAACCCTCTGACCAAAAAATCTCCCGACTACTTGACCAAGGCTACCAAGATGAAACAGACCAATGGCTAAAAAATATTGTTGCCGAGTTGACCAAGTCGGAAGGAATACCACATTCAAAAGAAATTTCACTTTCTGAATGCGAGCTTCGGGGAGGCCGACTTTATTATCGTGATAGAATCTATGTCCCTGATAACGAACTAAGGCCCATGGTCATTCAGATGGCTCACGATAGCTGTGAAAAAGGTCATCCAGGAAAAAAAGCATTGTATCAAGAAGTCTCTAACCATTACTGGTGGCCCAACCTCTCGAAGCAAACTGATCAATTCGCAAAAAACTGTCACAACTGCCTCCGAAATAAAGTCTCTCGTCTCAAGTACCAAGGGGCTCTAAAACCCCTTCCCCTTCCATTACAGCGCTGGCGTGATATATCAGTAGACTTCGTCGGTCCTTTAGCAGAATTTAATAACTATAATTGCATCATGGTTGTGGTAGATTGCCTCACCAAAGAACGACATTGCTCACCTTGCCATACAAAGATGAATGCAAAGGACCTAGCTAGACTTTTTGTCCGTGATATTTGGCGACTTCATGGACTATGTGACTCTATAGTCTCCGACAGAGGTCCGCTTTTTGTTGCAGAATTTTGGAAAGCGGTTTGTGACTGTCAACAGATCAATTTATCACTTTCTACAGCTTACCATCCTGAGACTGATGGACAGACAGAAAATGCCAACGCCTTTATGGAACAATATCTCGGACAATACATAGATTATTCTCAAGAGGTGTTTTGCTCAGCTATGTAGGATGGTAGATCTAGTAGCTAGTGCATAGGTAGTTATTATGGCAGCATGGTGTTATGGCGCATGGAGGAGATCCAGTCTCTACATAACGACATTACATGTAGTAATATGTGCATTACGAGAGATGGGTTGTTGATGTAGGACAAATGGCATGGCTGCTTAGTTGGTTGCACACTTTGGTGAGCTGCATACTGGTAACGTGATCGGTCTACAAACGAACAAGCTAGGGGATAAGGGACGAGCTTCCCCCAATCTGTAATATAACAATTATCATAGTCACTTCACTTCTGCACATTAATGAAGACATCTCTCCACATACTGTCTTAGCTGTTCCAGCGCAAGTGTACATTCCCATTTCATATACCAAGTAAAACAAGAGGACGTCTACGAATGGTTACCAATGGCTGAATTCGCTGCGAATAATGCAGTAAACGCCTCTACCAAAGTCACTCCATTTTTTGCAAATAAAGGGTTTCATCCACGTATGAGTTTTAGTCCTCCGCGAACAGTTGAGAGGAATTCTTCAAAAAGTCTTAGGAAGCAAATATCAGCGGGTACTGACTTCGCTTCTAAAATGGCAGAAGTCCTCGACGTACTGCTCGCAAACCTTACGCACTCCAGAGATAGGCAAGAGAGTACATCTAGTGCAAACCGATCACCAGCACCAGCTTATCGAGTTGGTGACGAAGTTTTTCTAGATGCCCGCAATATCACGACTTCCCGACCAATCACAAAACTAGATTGTAAATTTATAGGACCTTTCAAAGTTATTAAAATTATTAATTCTCATGCATATAAATTACAGCTTCCTTTCGAGTCTAAAAATATGCATGATGTTTTTCACACAAGTTTGCTCAGACCGGCACCCGCAAACCCCTTACCAGGCCAGACCAACCCCCCATCACCACCTATTGCCCTTGATGAGTCAGGCGAAAAGTTATATGCCATCGAAGCTATCTTAGATTCTAAGCGTAGCAAGAATAGAAAGAACTTTCAGTATTTGATATTGTGGAGAGGTTATGATTCAGAAGACCAAACATGGGAACCTCTCAAGAACGTTGTAAATGCAAAATCATCCATTAAAGAATTTGAACAGCGCTTCCCACATAAACTCAAGCCATCACCGCGAGAGATTGAGGCAGCGAAAAGGCAAGCTAAGATATCCGTAACGAAAATTGCGCCCAAGATCTAAGACATTCGGAGTGAGAAGGGACCATATGTCAAGGGATAGAGTGAATCGAGGGAAGTTACTGTCACGTGATATAACACGTCTGATACGCGATTCACGATGTACATATTTTTATGACTCAATAGGAGTCTCCTTTCTTCTTTGTAGACAATCTCAATCACCAGATTAGACCTCGTCAATCTACTTCATGACCTTCCCCTGACACCTTCGAGGTTAAATCCTTCATTTGCATCATCATGTAAACTTTTCTTGATCTCTCTCACGTCCATCCCAAAGAACTGTCTCCCAGACTTGTGCGCCACGCTTTGCTTCCTCCGTCGGTTGTAAATATCGGCGTGGGCGTGTATTTGGCGGTCAACTGAGGCCAGAGAAAGTCGACAAGAGGTGTGATCATTGGGATGAGGATGTACTTGGTCGTACTTGTAGACTTGATGAGGCTTAGGTATGAGTCGAACTCGTTGGGAGCGAAAAAATGACATGGCGGAGTAATTTGAATCATTACTTCGTGGGCCAACTTCTTTGATATTGCGAAATTTGACCGAACTTGGCTCTGGGAGAATATTTCACTCCCAGGCTCGTAGAGGACACGGCGTACAGGTGTTCAGTCTTGCCCTCCCGATGAGATGATGGTGGAGAGGGCCGCGAGATGAGTTTGGCTGGAAGTGATTTTCCAGAGAGGAAAAAAATGGATCCTGATGCTGTCGGTTTTTGTGATACGAACATCAAATAGGTTTTAACCTATCTCTGGTTCGTATCTGCAGTGTAGATGGTTGATTTCATGGAGATGCGCAGCCGTGAAATCTCTGCAAGTCGGATTCTCGACCAAAAATGAGCCAACTCCACTCCTCTCCATCGCCAACTTGATGAAAACTCTCAAATTCACCATTCGTCGTGACTGAATCTCGGCTCTGGGAATATTTCACCCCCAGGTTCGCAGGGGATACCACTAAGAGGTGTTCAGCCTTCGTCCTCCATCCCACTTGCGGGAACGTGTGTTGGAAACTTCTTCCCTTTTCAGAGGTAGGGCTTGGTGGTAAAGGACTCCGTAGATTGAGTAGTTTGAGAGTTCAGTTCTACAGAAAATCAACTGCGGATTTTCAATACCATGCTCTAACCATAATTCTATTATTAATAAATCAAAGCTACGAGATACCCACGTGAAATTAGTTTAGTAATCATCTGATCAATCGGAACCTACAGTACTGCCAGTCAAAATACATCCTACTAAAATACTTTGAAGCAAACTGACTTGATGTATAATGATACCATCTCATTTGTTCTGCTTTATTTACCATACATGCGCCATTTGTGGTATAACAGTGGCGCCATTCACCAGCCGCCAAAATTTATTACATGTTAGCACTGTCAAAAGAATTTATATTTGAATATATCAACATACAACTTTCATATTAAAATCTAAATCTATTTATATAGTTTTAGCAGTCCTTCATAGTCACACTCAGTAGGGACTTAAATTAAATTCTATTCTATAAGAATTTATATCTGTTCATGCCTTTCAATCCCTCAAAACTTAACCCGAGATCCAGCCAAAGGTCGAGCCAATACTCAGACGATTCGCTCGAAACCCTACCAGAGCAAGCAACACCACTATATCAACGAGCAAAAGAACTAGTGCGCTAGTAATGAATTTGGGACTAAAAATACGATAGAGCATCAAGTGTCGTCGCAACCAGGCGGCCCAAATGGATGTCATCAACGAGATGATACTGTAATATGAGATATGCCATGCGAGAGCACATAAGACGCTACGTGTGAGGTGCTTTGCACAGGGCTTTTGCTTCCATAAGACCAGTCCTGGTACTGCTAATGCAGAAAGTGCCTGTGCTCCGAAAGAGTTGAGCACAATTAGCAACGGTGAAAAGAGATAACGAACTGTGTGTAGGGGAATAAAAGCGCTTTCCCATTGTATGGAAGAGGGTGTTGTTTGGTGTCCAGTTTTAAAGAAGTAGAAGGACCCCAGTAGAGCAAGCATGACTGGTCCAACAGGGGACGAGGTTAGAGAGTTGAGATCAAGAATTTCGGCAAGAGCGAGCACCTGCCAAATCATAAGAGCTAGTGCTCCTGCACCCATAGGTTTTTGCAACAAGAGAATACAGACGAGCAAATTTAGCACCAGAAGAAAATATCGCGTTCCATGCATGTTAGCAAATCCTAATATAGTCATCGTTGACCCTGATTTGCCTACCGTTTCGGTGGATGAGGCCGGTTTTTCAGATATTTGAATAGAAACACAAGGGGGCGCGTAAACAAAGGCAGCCAAGCCTGCCCCTAATACAACAGCAAATATGGTTTGTGCAATAACCACACGTATTTGCTTGAAAAGCATAGGATCTAGGCTAGGAAGCCACTTGCCATCGTCTGCAGCATCCAATGTCCAGAAAACCGCGTTACATATTAGCCCGATTCGGAAAGCCCATCCAATCCATAGAGGGGCTAGCCCTTCGTAAGACAGACTACCTTGGTAGAAAGTTTTGATTATAGAAGGAAGTATAATTGCAGCGATAAATGGAAGCAGCAATTGCCACGATGCAGAGGTAGATGTGGTACTACTTGCATAATAAGTAGAGCGACAATATGGCATTTGCTCCTCTCGGCATAGCTTCGAGTATGAAGCAACCCAACCAAGAAGAGTAAAAACTAATGAATGATACACGCCCAGAGCTCGGTTAGAAGCCTTCTCAATTCGAAGCGACGAAATCATGGACACAATACCGAAAGTTGAAATGAATAGGAGGAGAATCGAGTCTTCCCATATTGTATATGAATTCGAGGCAAAACCAAATGCCTGACTGAGAGTAAAGATTACCGATAACCAGCTCCATATTGTCGTTGGAAAATAGTTGCTTATTGCCATCCAGCGGAATCTAACTGTTTGATGTAGAGCACCAAGAGTTCCTGAGACTACTAATGTAAACAAAGCTTTATCCATTACTGAGCCCCCAATGTCGAATCTCAACGTCACAGCCCCTAGTACTAGTCCAATAAGACTACTAATGATAGTACCTTGAACCACCTGCTTGCTGCTAGTCTGGCTAGTCATAAAAGTATGATCTCTATTTTGGCTCTCTAATTTTGGCTCTGCTGCTATACAATTTAGTTTTGGATCCGAGTCTACCGAATGACCCCGAAAATTGCCATTAACAAAGAGCAATAAAACGAGCATGCCGAGAGCCATTACCCCAATACCAAGCCACATCCGGGTGACATCGAACTGAGCCCAAATACTTCGACAGAAAGTCAAAGTTTCATTGGAGAAGGCGGAAAAAGCTGCATATACTTCTCGATTTTTCTGCTTCCCACCACGTACGAAGGCTTGCTCGGCGAGTAGCCAAAGTTTATCCAAATTTTGCCCTATGAGTGTATCATTCATTCCACGGGCTAAATTATATGCTGTCTGATATCGTTTAGTACCTGCAGCGGTAATTCTCGCAACAGTCGCCAAAGTTCCCCAGTCATTTCCCCTTTTGCCAATGAAAGCTTCCTGAATCGGCTGACCAAGGTTATTGAATGGTATGGGTATACCGAGAAGTAAGGCTATTGTAGGTACTAGATCAATCTGGTTAACATGTCTTTCTTTTGCAGTCTGAGGCGGTAGTAATTGCCCCGCACTTGTTCGTCCGAACATTCCTTTTTTAGAATACATCCAAAGCGCCGCCTGAATCTCATCGTCACTCTCGCCGCCATGATCTCCTTTTTCATCCATTCCATGATCACCCATGACAACTAATAAGGTCTTGTCGTCGATAACACTTGTCACATTTCTTAAGATAGCATCCATCTGATGTAGTTTTGATGCCATGGCTGGATGATTGGGCCCATATCTATGACCAGCATGATCTACACCCAAGTAATGCGCAATAATTACATCCCACTCTTTTTTTTTGTCATTTTGGAGTAGAGGCATGATATGTTCTGTAATACCATTATCTACAGTGTGTAGGTCCCAAACATTAAAGCTATCATATGCCTTACTTATTTTCTCTTCAAAGACTTGAGGAAACAGCGCAGTCCATGTGTCATCTCCGAGGTGAACAATTTTTTTTCCCGCATCCTTTAGCTGTAATAAAAGATTGTCCTCCTCAATCACGACTCCAGTAAAGCTACTACCTACATCAACAAAGGTTGGAAGTGTTCCTGTCGTTAGCCCTTTTAATCTTTGCATGGTCGTGGTCGGTGGATCTGCAATAAATGGAAGTAGAAAGGCGTTTTGTGGTTCTCTAACCACAGTCTCGTACATAACTGTTAGAGCATTAAAGTATGCCGCTTCAGATTCTTTGTGATTGGGAACGGTGAAGTCATAGCGGAGCGCATCTATGACAATAATGATGGCCTTTTCAAAACTTTTGGGGTGCCAACATCCAGCACCGTATGTGCTGACGCCTTTGAATGATTGAGGCAAGGCGATAGGCGGTGAGCTACATTCCGATTTTTGCGGGAGAACAAGCCGTGTGAGGAGATAGCCTTGACTAAAGAAATAGAGTCCACAGCCATGAATAATCCTGATTCGATCTACTTTAGTCTCCCTCTACATTTCTATTTGGACTAGGCTCTCAGCAGAACTTACATTAACCACAAAAAAAACCCGGCCAACCAATTCCATTCGTGGATAAAACTTTCTCGCGCCTTCTCGTTGATAATTTTTATTTCATTTTTTGGATCCTTAGCGATTCCGGCGTGGTCTGCCGCTGGAGCTTCACTATTTATCTCTGATTGTGAAGTACTTTTTAAAGCTTTTGCGCGAGCGTACTGAGCTGCAATAGAGGTAGTGTTTCCGGCAACTGCTCGAGGAACTTTGAAAGAAATGACAGCTTGATCTGAGGTCTGGGCTGCCATGTTGACTTTGTTGTTTATATGGTGCTTAATTTGCTTATGAGAATATAGGGCGCATAAGTATATGAGCTCGGGGGAAGTCCTATGATAGCCATAGGGTGGCCTAGTGATTCTATGGCCCAACAGGATGTTAATTATCAGTATATTTGTTTCAGGTCAATCAAGCCTCTTTCTTCGTGTCCAAGCGGCCCGCGCCCCTAGAACACGTGAACCGAGTGGTTACTTGGATTGACCACGCGAGTGTACAGCAGAGTAGACAAGTGCCGAATGCCTTATTGTGGTGTCCACTTTGAATCTGTAAGTGAGATGCCAACTATAAGTCGAGGTGATGCCCAAAAATGTTGGTCTGAAATTTCACAACAAGCTGCTTGAGAAATTGTGTTATCTTGATGTTGGCCAGAAAACTCGTGGGAAGAGATTTCACTTCTGCACATATCGACAAATTTTATTACTTTAATTCAAACTTCAAATGAAAGGTGGGCTTTAACGTAACTGGATATCGCATTGAGATAATCACCATCCTTCATCTATTTTACTCTTTTAGCAAAACCCGAATCGGCCTATATCATCCTATAGCTCTCAGTATCTACCTAAATACCTCCGATTGCACCAAGATATCTAAAAGTTTAGATAACCACCAAGGAAACGAGAGCTTGCTCAATCCTCCAAACCAAATTGTTACCCGAAAAAGGTACCGTCGACTAAACTTCCGAAAGCTCGCCATCTACGAAAGAGATAACACAAACCGCAGAGAAATCAATCAGAGCACTTAACGAAATCTAGGACACAGGTGCGTCTGTGGTCAGCTTTGACTGGCGTTTTTACCGTTACGGTTAGAGGTATGGCAGTGACAGTTTTTAAATTTCGATGTTAGATGTTAGGTGCGTCAACTCATGGATTCAAGAATTTCCTCTAGGGGAGAAGAAATTGTTTAATGTGAAGGACCCCTTGGCTTGCGACAAGATGATATACTAGGGCGAAAAGAATGAAGTTTAGATTATTTGTGCAGAGGCTTGCACTTGGAAAAAGGGATAAACCCGAAAACGCGTCTTGAAAAGCTCTGGCATATTGGTTTACTAATGTATTAACGTGCCATGAAAATGAAAAACCCGCGCATCCTTTAAAGAACTTGAGCACGAATGAAGTCGGGCTGGATCAGGTTTACTGACATGAAGTACAAAAACCTATTTCCACATGAATTAACAGACCACTTGAAGCATCGTTTATTTATTGAATCATGCCAATCCCGTCTGTCCAGAGATCCAGATTTTAAAGCGTTCAATCACGAATTCCTCAAGCTCGACTTCCACGTTTTCGGGTGCATTTTACCTTTAATTACCTAATGCTTTCTCTTCCTTTCCGTCCGAGTCATGCCTTGTTCTAGAACCCCCTCAGCTCAGCCAGGGGCAGCTCTCTTCGTTGGAATCTGGTGAGACTAGCCAAGGCTGAAAATGAATTTGCGCTTCGACGCGTTGACGTAAATTTATCTGGACGCCCAAATTTGTCACAGGACAATAATCGCATTGTATCAATCATAATGCCAACATTTGGACGAGTCATTTTTATGTAAGCAGTGGATGTTGCCCTGACTCGACCCATCGACACTCTATCAAGCCGCAAATGGAGTAAGCAAAGTTGCCGACTATCCAGCACATCAACCTCCAAACATGACTACTTTCTCGCTTCTTATGTTAAGAGACGAGCGATCATTAAGTTTTGGAAGACAGTGACTCTCTCATTACAGTCTTTTCTGTTACTCTGTCATAAAATCACTTCTAAGCCCCCGAATCTCCGTACATATCACTTAACAGTTTCGTGTCCGACTGTAACATCAAACAATTCCGATCTTTATCTCATGTAAAATTATAGCACGTTACGGTCCGTAATGTAACTTTTACGGATTTGTGAATAATTTTATAAATCCAATAGCTCTGGTGGCCGAAGATGATAGAAGCATGGTGGATTTAATCGTTTGAAAGAAACGAAACTTTCATTGTGCCAATGATCTACAGTAGATATAATTATCATGGATTTTATCATTCGTAGAGTATTGACACCTTAATAGGTAATTAATTCCTGTAGGAAATCGCTATAGAGCCAAATTATACGAGTATTCGTCCTCAAAATTCTGACTGACCCAAAGCATGACCGAGCTAATGGAAAGGTGTGAGCCATGAAATTGACGCATACTGGAAATTGATAACATACCTGAGCATCACAAAGGCGTTAGAGAAGATATTTGCAACTCCCATGTAGAGAGATGGCCAGACAGCATTTCCAAGTACATATTTCAGAACCAAAACAGCTATACCACCAGCCATTCCACCAGCTAAGCTTGCAAAGCCAAGAAAAAGGACGACTCGAGCTTTCCATGCGACGTCTCCACCCGAATAGCTGAAGCTATCGGCCGAAAGTCGGGTCTTTTCGATAGAATTGATTATGAGCATTCCGAGGGTTGAGAAGATAAATGGTAGCCAATCAGTAAAGTTGATATGGATGGTGCTGCCATTCTTATGCGAATGCGACCACACAGCTACGTCGAGGAGCATATAAAATGCCAAAGAATACTAATTTTAAGTGTCAGCTCCGATGACCTGGGGACTCGGTGTTTAATTAACGAGAGAAGTGAAAGCTTTCAGTGCAAATAGCCAGACAATCTTCTCATGCACATTTTCACTTGAAGGAACCACTAGAGGGTATTCGGGGCTCACAACGTACTAAGATGCCCGAGCCATACACGCCTAAGCTTCTTGCGGTAGCAGTGTTCATCCAATTTGGTTTCCTGAACTTCCAGAGGCGTTCTTCGGACAAGGACATCTTGCTTTTTTGTAGCCGTAGTATAAGGTTCTATATTCAGCTCTCTACCGATAAGAAAAGAATTTCGTTGAATTAAATGGGATATTTCTTGAGATAGTTATTAACGTTTTTTAAGGTGAGAGCGTGATTGACGAATATGTAAGGTATCATTTCCTCAGCGTGAACACTTGTTCGTGTTCTGTTTATCACGTGATAACATTTGCGCTGACCGGAAATATAATTACAGCGCTCAGATGTTTGAGCTGATCGCTAGCTCGTTGCATCCTCAGCAGGTCTCCAGGTGAGATATAATAGGAGATGGAACGTTCAAATAGAAAAATAAGCTACATTAGTTCAAATCTACAAATTATTTGCTAGGATAAGTAGAACTAATTGGGATGAAAAATATATTTACCTGAAGAGACTTCAAGCCCACGTAATAATGAAGAAAGGTTCATCACCACTAACACGCGATGTGCCTATGGAAACAACTTCTATCTGGGATCTTTTATGAGAAATCAAAATAAACCACATTTTGATTGTATTTTTATCATTCTATCAAGTCTGTAACTATACAAGGATATGTGGGTCCTTTCTACCTATAGACCGGGAATGCCTGTCTCGAGTAATATGCATCCTCTAATGCCTCCTTCATGATTTCTAACCTGCGGTAGTAACCCTAAAGGCCTTCATTTTGGTATATACTTATAGGAATCTTTATCTCTTCAATATCTTCTCTCTCCAGCTAATGAAACAATGGCCGTTTTCTAATGTGTAGATACATGTAAAAGTCATGAAAACCAGTGGGCGCTGGACCATTTTTACACCAACATCAGAGCTAAATTTGGAGACACTGCCATTCTTCAAAAGCGTTCGAAGAGGCCGGCTAGACGGGCGCAGCAGACCTGTATATACCCAAGAGCTTCTCCCTCCTTTTCTATCTTCATCCTTACTTTTCCCTTGATCCATACTATAGGACAAGCCAAAGGTCGTCAAAACATGTTAGAAACGACTTGGTTGAGAGTCACTGCCGTGAAGGAGTCTAGTCTAGCATCCAGAGGTCGTTACAGGTATGGGGTTTTCGAGTAGCTCATTTAATTCAAAAGCTCTCCTAGCTAATAGATTCGGACTTTATTGTTAGAAGAGACCGTATGGTTGACAAGTTGAAATCAGCTTCTCCTGTGGGCGGAATGGTCTTTTACTTTGCTTTCATGAACTTTTTGTTCGCCGGCCGGTAGGTAGCATAGTTTGTGATACAATGAGGGCTTCTCTAACTGGCGTTTTAGCGTTTGTTAATATTATATCTTTCATCATTCCCAGTATCATTATCGTCTTCATCTTCATATGTATAATGGCAATCGTATCTTTGAGCGGAGGGGAAATAATCCAGCTAAAAGTTGAAAATTTGCTACCTAGTTTCGGTTCTGAAGATACTGAGGTGAGCAATAGAGGTTCGTAGGTAAGTTTGGTGCTTATTTTGTTGTTGGATTCTATGATTATGCGGCACTTTTGGAGGTTTGTTGTGGACACCACTGGCAGGGGTGTAGTATTCGTAACCCCACATATTGAAATTCAAGGCTGCAGGTGCTCCTGTCTTAAACAATGATTACGACCCACCTCCATAATGAGCCATCCCATTCCAATGCATACTTCAAAAAGGAAAGCTGACATAGAAATAGTGCACAACATCATGGGTGAATGCTGGGGAAGGGTAAAGAAGCCTGAACAGACGTACATGGTATTCTTTCCGATCCTGGGAGTGGAATATTCTCCCAGAGTCAAGCTCTCAAATCTTGTAATACCAATTAAGTTGTCCTATGAGGCAATGGTTCAATATTCCTTACCAAGCCAATTTTTCACATTTCACGCAGTGGTTTCAGGCCAAATCCTAGTTCAATCTACAAGCATGATCTAGTAAATACGAAGTTCAAAGACTGCACCGAGCCCTAGTTAACTCAGTCATATACCACGGCTGCCCACCAAATACATGCCTGCTATGATATGAGTATTCGTAGGTAGATATTGTGGCACACAAATCTGCTGAGGTAGATTTACAGGATAGAAGTGAGAAAAATTATGATAGATGGAATAAGTTACGCTAATGATCGATTCAATTTCGATTTTAGGAAGTGTTGTAATGAAGGGAGTAACATGACTGCATTACAATAAACTGTTCACATTAGAATAATGTGCACATGCGCCATGGGATATGATTGACCAAAATCATCACTCATTGGTATGACATAGTATTTCCCAATAGATTCCTAATGGTATCTATTGGCGCTAGGATCTCTCACATCCTTCCTTTCTCGGTTAGACAAGGACAGATGTTGGAACATCCACTAGTGTGCAGAACCCCCTTATTCATGTACATAGAAGAAGGTCCTGTCACGTAGATAAATTAAGCAATTCATACAATAGGAAATTACAATAATCTCCATATTATTTACACACTTGAGAATACTAGGGAATATCCTCAAGTTCGTCCATTGATCCAAGTCCTAAGAGTATAACTCACGAACTTTACTTCTCTTAAAGCCATAGCTACCTCCTTCCATACCTTCATCCTAAAGGTACGTCATTCCAGCTCAGCATAGCCTTTCAATAGGAAGGACAAATTTTATTTAAAGAACATCAAGGGTCGCAAAAGTTGATCTGTAAGAGTGCACGCGACACCATAAATATTGACATGAGGGCATGGTGCAATGATACAATTTTCAGGATGGTTTCTCAAGTTAACTGTGAACCGTTTTGATATTTCACTCAGTTCAGTCAGGAGATATCTAATTCAAACCCAGCAGGTCTCGAGCCGATTTCTCGCGATGTTTATGTGCACAAACGATGAAGTCACGCTTGGATAATCAAAGGTTTTGAAATTCCCTTTGGTGGGTACTCCAAGAGGAACGTTGACTGTTTGCCCAAGCAAACACATCTCATAGTGAAATTTGCAATTGAGATTCAGAGTATAATTGTCTCTATTGATAAAAGACTTATCCTTCATGCATACAAGACAAAGGTCTTGTGTCATAGCTAGATAGTTGAAACTATAATAAATAATCTTTTTTTAAAAAGACGAACAGACGTACTAACTTTAAAAGATTCTAGATATGTTTGCCTTTTTATCTCCACTTAGCAACGCACAGTCATTATCACACAGTGAAGTTTGCCAGTTAACTACTTAGGTGCTTTTGTTGCCCAAAATTTCATCCCTGGAGATGGAAAATAAAATGTAATGCGAAGAAATTTTAACCAAGTACATTCTTGTTATTGTGATTAAGGCAGCAACATGACTGCAGTAATGTGGCATTTCTCTGAATGCCGGACAGCGCTAAATGAATGGCGGAAAACAACAAAGGATATAGCACCAAGTATTTGGACAATGTTGGGAGAAAAGGGATGGATAGCTTTTTATAGATTCCTTACCGTAACAGGATGCTACGGGGTGCAAAGTAGGACTTGAATGACCGAGGTTTTCTGGGATACATATAGTACAGGAAACTGCTATGAGGTAGCTGGCTAGGCGCAGGGCGTTAAGTCAGGGCAGCAAAAGTTTTTGATGTAATTTTTGTCTTTATTAGATCATGTAAATTTCTGGCCACATAAAGCCAGCATCAGCGGTGTTTGTGGATCCCCCCAGGAACACGCACCCGTGTCAAGCCTCCTGGGTGTAGGGCTTTAGCCTGATACGTTAAATTATTCAATTCAATTCAATGACTGCAGTAATTACGTCCTCAGGGCTCCATACATGCAATGAGCAAGGCAGGAGGGCAAGACTGGACACCTGTACGCGGTGTCCTCTACGAACCTGGGAGTGAAATATTCTCCCAGAGCCAAGTTCAGTCAAATTTCGCAATATCAAAGAAGTTGGCCCACGAGGCAAAATTTAAAATTACTCCACCACGTCGTTTTTCCGCTCCCAACGAGTTTGACGCCTACCTGAGTCTTATCAAGTCTACAAGTACGACCTAGTACATCCTCATCCCAATGACCACAACTCTCTTCGACCTTCTCTGGTCTCAGTTGACCACCAAATACACGCCCACGCCGATATTTATACCCGACGGAGGAAGCAAAGCGTGGCGCACAAATCTGGGAGACAGTTCTTTGGGATGGACGTGAGAGGGATCAGGACAAGTTTACAAGATGATGCAAAGGAAGGATATAACCTTGAAGGGAGTGAAATTCCGAATTTTGGCAAGCAGTTTTACGAATTGAGCTTTGTGCGCGCCAAGACTTCGCTTGTGAGAGTGCAGCTGACACTATAGAAACAAGCCGACGATGGAAGGTGTCGTGGTCCGCCTCCTGGTAGTGTTCTCTGGTATGGTTTGAGTAGCCTGGGCACCTACTCCACTTGGGAAAGAGACACCTCAGATCACATATCGCGCGGAGAATAGTTGAAAGATGATGAAGGCATGTCTGGATAACTCAGGGTTTTTGAGACGTTCCCCTGGGTGGGTGTTCACGGATGAGGGTTGACTTGGGGTGAAGAAAAAGCCACCATAACTTCGCAGTGGTACTTGCAAATGAAATCCGAGGCATGAGTGCTCTTCCTTTACGTTGAATCATATATTCTGTACTTTTCTTTGATATTGTGTCATAGCTAGATAGCTGCATACGCAATTAAAATCTGATGCAAAAAAAAAAAAAAAATGAGCAAGGCAGTGTAGGAGCTTGAACATGAAACACTTACACGTGACATGAATGCCAATCTAGTCTTGGCATTACTCAGCAAACACCCACACCCCATGTATATAGAGGTCGCAATAGTTACGCCTATTTCTCCTTTCATAGTCAATCTATCTTACATTCCTGTTGGAAATGGAGATACGGAGTGTTGTGGACGTATGGGCCCTCCATTTCGTCTAGGTTCCCGACACGATCTTGTGTGTATGTAAGAGGTTGGAATAGGTAATATGGTAGCGCTTCAGGCTACCTATCGGACATATGAGCGGCTATATGGCGTGGGCGCAAGGAGGTTATTGGGGGTTTTCTATGCCTAGATGGCGCCACACTCGTTTATGCTGTGGCTTAGGCTATGTGTCGCTTACACTTGTACTTGTAGCGCACACTTCCCACACTTTTAGCCGTAATCCGATCATGACACTCTTTTAGTCAACTTCTACTTCCGTTCCATGAATATTGCGCCCATTACATTGCGCGATAATTCCAACAATTCACAAGGCTGCCTCTCTACCATTTTCATACCTCGTGATTTTGGCCATCTTTTTCAGAGACCCAGCCTACTTGATTCACTCACACACCCATGCACTACACTCTCAGAGTCATCTATAGTCCCACAGTCCTATAGTCCCAACATTATAGAAGTCGATGTTCTTGAAGACTAATACTCTCAAAGAACTCACCAATCCCCGAATCCCAGCAATAGGACGATTCATAAGAAGGACCATACACCAAGACATCATGGCCAGTTTCAAGAAATCCGAAGAGCTTCACCTTTTCAAAGTAAAGGTTAAAAAATTTGCCCCACAATTACGGAAAAATGCTCCATCGAAACCAGCTAAGATCGAAAAGTTCGATGGAAGCAACGCAGATTTCAAGACTTGGTCCACCGCTATGGACCTCCGTTTTGTCAAATACCCCGAAGACTTCAGCACTCTAGAGTTGCGCCTCACAGAGATCGCGGAGCACTGTTCGGGTCGCGCCGCAAATTGGATGAAAGCAATCATCACCGGCGATCGTGAAGATCTCATTGACGATTATGCTGAGTTCATTGCACAGTTCACCAGAACCTTCCAAGACGCCCAATACATCTCACGTATGCAAGACCAATACATGACTAGACATGTAAAAGGTTCTGTCGCCACCTTTGCGACACAATTCGAAGAAGTATCCCATGCTTAAGTTACCCTTCCAATGTCATGGCACTCCAGTTCCTGCATCACATGCAGCCCAAGATTAGAAAGGCGCTAAACTGTCAACCAACCCTCGATCGCGAGGACTATGAAATGGTCCAGAAACTTGCGGTAGAGCTAGACAGCAATATCTACCTAGAGCGCAAAGAGGAACGCACTACCTGGTCACGTACCTACACACCCATTGCCACTCCTGCAACTACCGTTCGCGCTGAGGAAACGACATAACAATACGGAGCTCGCCATACAGGCCCACGCCCTCCCTTCACAGATACCGAGAGAAACCGTCGGCGAACCCATAATCTTTGTCTATACTGCGGAGCAAACGACCATTTGGTGGAAAGATGTCAGCTCACCATGGGACAACGCCGCCTTAACACCACGGCATACGAGCCAGATACTGCAACCTCTATACACCCCAAGAATGAAATTGATTGAATCTCGATGTCCTCAACTCAAATTCAAAGGGTCAGTGGGTGGAAAGGTGGTGCGGAAGATAATTTCATCAATGAAGATATTTTACCAAAACTTCAAATTACTTAAGCTGTTCAAACAACTTACGACACAACTACAAACCCTCACCTAACTCGACTAAAAATCGATTACCAATGTCGGCCATGGAAGCTTTCCGAGCAATACTCAATGGACCGGTGGTGGCTGGTGTGGGGGCTACTGTGGATCCAGGACTCATCCGAGACAAGTACCATATCGTTCCTTGGGACCCTACTAGACGAGTGCAGGTTGAACTCACCGTCACAGAAGAAGGCAATATAATCGGGACAAACCCTAGTACTAAATTCGTGGATATTGTTCTCGATGACATCATTCATTATGCCAAATACATATCAAGAAAATCTTCGGATTCGATGTAGCAGCTGATCGAGTGATGAACATGACGGAAGATTTTAGGAAGAATATTTATCTCGACATGATCGCAATTCTTCTTGTGGCTTTATCTCATGGTCAATACGACGTTGGATGCCGTGAAGCGACTTCTGCTGAAAAATCTGAGATTATGAGCCAAAAAATCTTTGATGAAGACAAAGAAGAAGTGTTCAATCCCACTAGGATCAACCGTGCTACTCCCTATCTTCTAGCCAGAACGCACACTAAGTACTAGACCAACTATGTTATTGGAAGGGAACCCTATGTAGACTTCTATGGCTTCAGCAGTTAGAGCACATTTCGGTCTGTCTCCATCTAACACACGGGATAACACAAAAAAACAGCAACTTGAATTCCTTGCCAACTGTCTCTATTGGTCAGCCCATCCCGCAAATGAACGCCTAATGACCCCCATGGTCATCCACAACACCCAGATGACACATGCTATGATCCATGCTGATGGTCCTGAGCCAATCACTGTTGTGGTTGATGAATATTTCCAAATTCGAGCTAAGACCCCACCTGCATCAACTCATCATTACTATGTCGCTGCAGCTGCCCTTCAACAATTGGAGCCTATGGGAATAATCCAGTATCTGCCCACTCCAAGTAGAATTGATGATGCACTATATGGTCTGAAGCTCATCGAGAAGTATGGAGCAGCACTACACCCGGCAGCACGATTCTGGGGCTTGTCTCGAATCACTTCAAACCAAAAAATTGTCGAACCACTCTATGCTGATCTCGGGTATGCCATCAGACGACTTGTACAACAACCTACAACAGCCTAAAACAGCCTACCACTCCACGGCCAACAGTGAGTCTGAACATGCGAACACCATAATTGAAGCCCTATTACGTGTATATTGTAACCAAGCCCAAACTGACTGGGACACATGGTTAGATACATGTGAGTTTGCTTATAATGACTCAAAAACTTCAGCCACTGGCACCACCCCCTTCTTCGCAAACTACGGTTACCACCCACATCGCCAGTCCCACCCCTAGCTTTTCAACGAAGAACCAGGTCAACATAACGACGGAGTAGGTTGGGTCATAAAGCAACATCTTAGACTCGACAAATGCAAAGAACAGCTACTAAAAAACCAAGTAAACATGTCAAAATACTACGACCAACGTCATAGCGAAATGAGTTTCAGAGTTGGGGAGCATGTTATGCTACGTACCCGCCATTTGTCTCTTGGAGTGGACAAATCGCGTAAGCTAGCACCTCGTTGGATAGGGTCATTTCTCGTGGCAGGCATCGAAGGTCCGCTCACTTACCGTCTTAATATTCCAGATAAATTCAACAGTCCGCACCCTGTCTACCACGTCTCAAATCTCGAGAATTACCATAGTCCTGATGTGGCACAAGGTCAAACTGATGTAAATAAAGCTTGCAAATGGTACGAAAAGGTGACGTCCTGTTGTGGTTGGCAAGTATTTGCCAAGATAGCCACGTGATACTCATCATGCGCGGACTTTAGTATATCTCTGCTGCTCAGTAGACTTAGTAGAAGTAACACCTTTTCATATACATAACTATCTAAATACAACACGTCCCCGATTCAACACCGACTCAAGCCATGTAGAATCCTTGCTTGTCGCACTTACCAGAAAGGCCGTCAAGCCTATTACAAGCTGGAGTTTATGAATACAGGCCATACCATATGGGCCCCAAAAACATTTGTCGGTTTCGCAGACTCCGACGATCGACTAATTGATACTTTTCATACTCTTAATCCCACTGCCCCTCGACCTGCCGGGTATAGACTGGAGGCGGATCGCGTCTGGGAGGACATCAGACTACCAGATGAGGAGGACACTGCACCACGCCGCGGACGCCCAAAAAAGTGCATTTCTGTTAGGGCCAGGCATCCTTGAAGAAGGTTCAAGGAGAAAGTTCTCAGGAAAAGATTCAATGAGAAGAGATCCGGGAAAACTCTGACAATTATAGCTGGAGGGGCTTACCACGATATAATATTCCAAAGCCTCACTTAAATCTAGCACGTAGTTAGTTATACTTGAGGAAGCTGGAGTTACTCTAAAGTAGTTCTTCAGCTTCTCAATCTTATAGCCTCACAGTCTCTAGAATCATACTACTCGTCTCAATCTCTCGTTCTTCAGTCCTAATCTCTTGCGCCTCGCCCGTTCAGTTTAACACCCCTAACCTTACCCGTCTATATCGTCTTGTACTTATTCGCCTAGTCATTACTAGGATATCTTCAGCAGACGGCAAGTCCAACTTCATTCACCACACGTCGTAACAAATTCATTAGACAATTAACTTACGCCATCACCGCATACAGACCTTATGGCGATAAAAAATTACAATACGTGGTATCCAACCCAGAAAGACCCACGGTGACGAAGTGGATGACCAGAGCGCAATTAATAAAGACTGTCAGGCGCAGGTTTACTAGGCGCAAGACTCGAGGCGTAGGAGAGGGCGTAGCGTACGATGTACTGAGGAAGGACGCCTCGTGGGAACACGGAAGGCTTTCTAGAGAAGTGGTAATGAGGAACGCGGGGAATCGTTCTAGATTAAGTGGCTGGAGGTGACGGTAGGTCACCATGGTTGGCAGAAGACGAGAGTAAGATGTGATTAGAATTATGTAACTATTCCTAAAGACAGAAAACAAAGCGTGAAGATCTCAGTCTCGGATAGAAAATACACAACTGTCCTCGCTAGGCAATAAAGCCTAGTGAGGCTAAGCAAGGAACCCAAGAATCCTACCGAGGCATTTCTCCAGGATCCCTACAAAGACTATTGGCCGACAAGGGCAGGATTTGGTAAAACATTACACTACTTCAAAAGACTAAGGCACAGATAAACGCGCATACCCCCCCGCTAGAATTCTCATTGAGTGAGTGGTTGTTTATTGTCCTAAAAAGTCTATAACTATGTAAGGAGATGTAGGTCCTCTCTGCCTACAGGCCGGGAGTATCTATCCCTCGGGTAGTGCACTCCCTCCTTTGCCTCCTTCACGACTTCTTTCCAGCAGTAATACCCCCACAGGTCTTCATTCGAGTACACACTAAGAGGAGCCGTTATCCCGTCATTATTTCCCCTCTCTAGCCAACGAAACGATGGCCATTTGTGGGTGTGTAGCTGTAGGGAAAAGTCTGAAAAACCACTGGGTGCGGGGCTCTCCTATGACGAAGAGGCCGTCCAGCCGGGCGCAGCAGACCTGTGTATACCTAAGAGCGTCTCTCAACCTTCCTAGCCTCCTCCTTACTCCTCCCTGATTCATGCCGCAGGACAAATTGGAGGTCGTGAAAGGATGTCAGAAAAGTGTTGGAAAATATACTCTGTAAGATATTATATGGATAAATATGATGAAGTAAAGAAGACTTGATATTTTACAACTATGTGAACATTGGACATATATACACATCTTAGGGGAGAAATTCCCACTAGTCTCATGTGCCTGTCGAACTTCATGATGACCAGCCACCTCTCATCTACCATAATGAGCCAAGGTACACTGTACTACGTAGATATCCAAACGTATATGCAATAGTAGGCGCGATTAGCGCACTCGTGACATGCTTAGAGAGTGTCAATCTTGTCGGGAACCTGAGACGAAACAGATAATGGTTGAGTCCTAAATTCGAGTCAGAATTTCCAACAAAAAGTCTTGGTCGAGAGTGACAGTCGTGAAGGGGCCTAGCCTAGCATCCTGAAAGTCGTTACGGACGTGGGGTCGTCGAGTAACTCATGTATTTCAGATGCTCTCCTGGCTAGTAGATTCAGAAGTTAAGATGAGTAGGGACGATATTTTTGACGAGTCGGAATCTGCTTTTCTTGAGGGCGGAAGGATCTTTTACTTTGCTTTCGTGGGCTTTTTGTTCGCCCGCCGGTGGGTAGCACATGTTGTGATCTAACGAGGGCTTCTTTGACTACCGTTGTAGCGTTTGGTACCGCATTATCTCTCCTCATTCCTAGCATCATCATCGTCTTGGTCGTCTTATGAGTTATCGGAAGCGTATCTTTCACGGAGGGGGAGATAACTCAGCTCAAAGTTGATAAGGTGTTACTCAATCTCGGCTCTGCAGACTCTACAGTGAGAGCTGGAGGTTCGTAGGGGACACCACTGACAGTGTTGAGCATAGTCCCCCTAAAATTCTCATTGTTTGGGTGAAGGAATTAGAACACCGAGGACGGTATTCTGAAGAAGGGGGATAAATACGCCCTCAGGCTCCATACATGCAATGAGCAAGGCAAAAAAAAAAAAAAAGGCATGAGTGCTCCTCTTGTAAATTGAGTCATCTTTTCTGTACTTTTCTTTGATATTGTGTCATAGCTAGATAGCTGCATACGCAATTAAAATCTGATGCAAAAAAACAAAAGAGCAAGGCAGTGTAGGAGCTTGAACATGAAACACTTACACGTGACATGAATGCCAATCTAGTCTTGGCATTACTCAGCAAACACCCACACCTCATGTATATAGAGCTCGCAGTAGTTACTCCTATTTCTCCTTCCATAGCCAATCTATCTTACATTCCCCAGGCTGCCTCTCTACCACTTTCATACCTCGTGATTGCAGTTGACAAATACTACATATAAAAATAATATGCGCTGGTGCCATGAGATATAATTAACCTATATCATCATTCATTGGCCTTAGGATCTCTGACAACCTTCCAATTTAGGTTAGATAAGGAAGTACAGTGCCTCTAGTTTGGAAAAGGTAAAACTTCAAACTGGGTTGTTTAAGGGATAAGCCCTGTAGGCGCAGTTGGGCTAGCTCGTAAAAGGTTAGACTGTCTCTCCTCCTTACCCCGCTCGCCATGAAGTATGGTTCAATCGTCTTCTTCAAACAATCGCTTAGGAAAATACATTTTCAACGACACTTTTGGCTGCCTGACCTACACAGTCCCTGAAACTCAACATCACTATAATTTCATCCTCTATTCTAGCAAACAATGTCTCTCGAAAAGTCTGCTTCAGAAACTAAAGTTCGCAAGCATCTAACTCGCGATCAATGTATTGAAATAAGAGCATTTAGAAGACTTGGCTTGACATTACAACATATCCGACGAACTTGGCATCATTATAAGGCAAGTGCAACTTGCGTGTGCTTGAGAGACTGAGAATTCTATATCCCGCAAAGGAAGCTCACCTAAATTAAGCGCGGAACAATTTGATGAGCTCGAGGCTTTCGTCCGGGAATCTCCTGAAAAATCGACAGATGTGCACTTTGGAACTAGCAATGGGCATTAACTTTC